TCAAGACGGAGTCGGCGTTCCATTTGAACATGGCCTAGAGTGGGTTACTCGTGAGATATTTCAATTTGAGGTAATTGACGTCTTCTTCACCTAGTGCACAGGCATGACTACAACTGTGTCAAAATGAAAATATTTCAACTAGAACACAACCAGCTTCACGTTCAGTCGCAGTACGCAGCCACACCTACCACATCTGGATCTCGAATGTAAGTGTCAAAACCGTGACACCATCATTCATCTCAAGACAAATTTTTTTTTGATTTTTTCGAATTGATGTAGACCTTTGGTCGGCGGTGGCAACCGAAGTACCTTATCTTCATAACGGCGAAGATGCAGCGATGCAAAGTGAGCCGCCGGGCAGCCATATAGCCAGTTTTTTTGCGAGTGGGTTCCTTTCATGCATGCTGCTGAGTGGCCGCAGGATACGCGAACAAGCATCTTGCACGTTTTCCAACTTTTGCCGACTTCTAGCGTCCAGCGAGGATGTTGCTATCATCTACCGGGAGAAGAGTCATCGCATTCATTCCACTTTCCCGACTTTTTTTTTCTCATGTGCAACGAGAAGATCTTAACCTTCCCTTCTCGGAAGGTCAAGATCTTCTCGTTTGCACGAGTTTGATCGTTGCTAATAGTTTCATGCCTGTATATTAATATATGGTCAGTTTTGGGTAACGAGCTATGTAAAACTTCAGTAGAGGAACTCGTCTGCACAAGCGAATGCGTGAATCCGAGAAGGTCAAGGAATTTTCCGACCGATAGTTGGTCAGTAAGAGTAATCGATGGTCCTGATCACGATTTGATTTGCGATTACTTTGCCTTCAACGCAATTTAGCGCCAGGATGGCGCCGGATGTCATTTATACAAGACTTCTTAACGCGTTCAGTGAGAGAATAATGCGGCTTTACGCTGGTCGTGCACGGGGTTCTGATTAACCGCCAGCGATCGAGTTTGTCTTGTCTTTCTCGATGGTATGCGAAATGGTGGTAGCTATGACTCATGGGGTATTACCATTCAGAATGTACCTATGAATGGTAATTATCAGGGTTCATTCAAATTCCAGACATATACGGACCAAAGACCAAAGACCAGCTAAATCTCGAGGTCTTGAGAGCGCGTAAAGTTGCCTTCTCGGAAGTTAACCCACCAGCCCCATTCTTAATGCGTCAACGATAGTGTTCCACCGTAACCACGAGGTCATCCGATCGTTTTGAGCATCGGTAGCTCCGAA